ATATTTTTTTTTTGAGGAACTAAGGATTTTTTTTCTTTTAAGTATTGTTGGTGACTGTAAGCTATATTTTATGAAGTCTTTAGAATTTAGATTTGCTGATTATTTCTTTGAATAGTCTTTAAACATCATAAGATAGTGCTTTTACCGATGCACATATTACTTGTTATCTGCCAGATTTAAGGATCACAGTACAACTATGGATAGTGAACCAAACCCTGGAACATCTTCTGTGTCCACAACAACCAGTAGCACCACCACCACCACCATCACCACTTCCTCCTCTCGAATGCAGCAGCCACAGATTTCTGTCTACAGTGGTTCAGACCGGCATGCCGTACAGGTATTTTAGCTAGAATGATGGAGAGGTTAAGACTTAGAATGTCATATTACTTTAGACAGATGTATGTATTAATTCATAGCCTGAAATACATGGAATTGCTAACATTTAGACTGGAGATGTAGCTCAGTGGTACAATGCTTGCTTCGCTGGATGATTTAAATCTTCAGTATTAACAAAAGTTGTTCATGTTTGAAACAGCCAACTTAATTATTTAATAATCATACTATTGAGATGGCTTGCATTTGTCAATGTGTAGCTATATGTCAGGAAAATTCTAACTGGAAGATCTGTAGGTGCTGGTACAAAGTGAAGATACTCAGTGCAGAGTCCTCTTGTTGCTGGCACAGGCTACTAAACTAAACAAAAACAGGCTTATATTGGTTCATGTTTTCAGGCCAAGATTGGCTCTTCCTGAGGCAAGAAGGGTCTGGGTGGAAGAGCAGAGCAGAGAGAGGATCCTGGGAGGGAGATACCCTGCTAAGCCACACCCCAGTGACCCACCTCAATCCTGGCCTGGTCTCTCAACAACATTGAGCAAAAACAAACACTGAGCCCCCATGCTCTCCAGTGGATGAATCCCCCTGTGAATGCGGTACCCTTGTAATGCAACTACCCTTTAAAAGTCCACCTCTACGCCCTGATGCCATTCTAGATAAAAATTATAACTAACCTCAACATGCAGAGTGCCTCTAGGTTTTTTGGGGATTATATTTGAATCTAAAATATAGATTTAGGGAGATCTTTTAGATTTAGGTCTGTAGATTTAGGTCTGTAGATGTCTTAAGAGGTTTATGTTAACCCAGGTGGCCTAAGTATTCTAACAAGAAAGATCTATTTTACAGGGGCTGGGGAGATGGCTCAGTGGAATAGGGCCTGAGTTCAATCCCCAGTTCTGCAAAAAAAAAAAAAAAAAAAATCTATTTTACAGCTGCTAGGGACAGAATAGAAAGGAATATTTAGGAAGAGTCTCAAGCATAGTCACTTATTTGAGAAAGTAAGGTTTTCTTACTTGATCTTTATAATGAGGCAATATAGTATTGTTCGAAAAAGGCATGAACAGCTGGGCGTGGTGGCACACACCTGTAATCCCAGCATTCACAAGGCTGAGACAGGAGGCTGTGAATTCAAGGCCAACCTGAGCTACAGAATAAGTTCAAGACCAGCCTGCACTACATAGTAAGACCCTGTCTCAAAAAAAAAAAAAAAAAAAAAAAAACAAAAAAAAAAAAAAAAAAAAAAACGGGGGGAGGGGGCATGAACATTATACTATGGTATAGTCTGCTTGAATTCCAGTTTAATTATTGGTTTTAATGTGGCCATGAGTGAGGGTCATAATCTCTTTCACCCCCAGGAAGCTATAAAATTAGGATAACATTGGCTGCTTCTGCAGTTACTGTGAGGATTTAGTGAAATATCTAAAACCACATGCAGGCTGGGGAGATGGCTCAGTGGAATAAGCGCTTCCCTGGCAAGTGCAAGGTTCTGAGTTCAATCCCCAGTTCCACCAAAAAAAAAATAAATAAATAAAAAAAATAAAACCACATGTATTATAGATATGCAGTACATAGTAATAGTATATACTGAACAGTTACTGTGTGTCAAACATTTGTTAAGTGCTTTATGTGGATTATTTATTCCTCACCACACCTCTGTGAAGCAGATATGATTATTGTCTCCATTTTACAAATGGGAAAAATCAGTATTTTTAAAAGGTTAAATATTTTTCCTAAACTCACATAGCTAGCTATTATGTTCTCTGACTTTAGAGTTCGTGCCTTTAACCAGTCTGAATTCATTTTTTAAAAAATTATACCTGCTTGCTTTCTCTAGAATCTGCATAATTGCTTTATTTATTTAGTAGTGCTTTAGAGTGAACCCAGTGTCTCACAATCCTAGGCAAATAATTTATGACTGAGCTACATTCCCAGGCCCTCATAATTATATTCTTAACACATACTCTCTGTCTCTGTCTCTATGTCTCTCTCTCTCTCTCTCTCTGTCTCTGTCTTGCGCTCTCTCTCTCACTCTCTCTCTCTCTAATAATTTCTTTTTTCTTTTAACAAGTTATTGAACTCAGGACCTTCTGCTTGCTAGGCAGGCACTGTGCCACCAAGCTAAACTTTTGTGATATAGTCTTTTCTCTGCTCTATTTTTTTAAGGTAGAGATCCATAGAAATATAGTACAGTGACTATTTCACTATTCTATGGTTTAGGATTTAGTTTTCTGAAGTCACTATAGAGTGGAATCAGAACTCAGGGACCTAGCCAGCTCAGCAGAAATTAAAAATGGAATGCAGAATGTACTTTTGTTATTCTTCACTTTTTTCAGAGACAAGGAATATAGGAAAGTGTAGATCTTTATTTTTTTATTTTTTTTGTGTAACCAGGGATTGAACTCAGGCCCTTGTACTTGCCAGGCAAGCGCTTATTCCACTGAGCTATCTCCCCGGTCCCATAGATCTTTAAACATATGGATGATGTGACTTTTTTTTTTTAACCCTTCATTCCCTGTGGTATTGTAATATGCCAGTTTGATCTTTAGTTTTTATTTAACTTGTACATATTAATAAAAATAAGGTGTTGATGGGGCTATGTAGATGTATTTTACAAATAGGTCTAGTTCTTATGAAATAATAGAATTTCTTCTAAAATGTGATCAAATAAATATTTATTGAATTATTTAAGTAGTTCTTTCATTTTCCATATTTTTCAGTCCTATGAATTCTTGTCATTCTCTTTTTCAAGAGACAAAATAAGAGCAATGTGCCGTGCATTTAACTTGTATTTCCATGATGCTGCAAGTATAGTATAGAAGGGTGAAGACAGACTGTGTTAACAAAAAATGTGTCAGACTGATTACTCATTTGATATTTCAGTTTTATATTTAGAATTTTATCATGAAATGAGGAAAAAAGTACAGATTTTTCTGGTAAAAAATGATGTATTATTAAAAAAACAAATGGTATAGGGGCCAGGGAGATGGCTCAGTAGAATTACCACTTGCCTGGCAAGTGCAAGGGCCTGAGTTCAATCCCTGGTTCTGCAAAAAAAAAAAAAAAAAGTTACTAATTCTGAATCGCTTAATGCTGGCCTTTAGTTCTCTGCAACTAGGAATCAAAAACCTACGTTGATTTTATGACGTGAGTTCGTAGTAGGTATAGCAATCTACAATTGAAGAGAAAATAAATAATAGCCATGGAAGTATAATTTCTTGAAATTTGGAAAAAGGAATTCATGGCTTTATAGTTCCAGATGTCCTAACTTAGGCTTTCAATCTATAGGGTTATGACTGTGCTATGCTCTGTGTCATTACAGAGTCCTAGTGGCTGTGACAGAATTTTGGGATATGAGTGCAGAGGACAGGCATAGTCTGCTGTATCCTTTGGACAGATGCAGAATTTTTCTCTGGTCTTATTAGAATATTGTACTTGATATTTTTATGTTTATATATATATGTTTTAGGCTAAAAATGTTAATATTACTGTAATTAAAATTATTTGAGGAGGCTTTAGTAAAAATAGTGTTATTGTAAATGGAAATTAAGCAATCTGACATTTAACAATTACTGAGTTATTTTAATTTGACAATTGATATACAGTAATACCTCGGTTCATGAACACAATTTTGTTTACAAACAGTTTGGCCTGTACTAAAAGCATTCAGCAGGATTTTGCTTCTGTTAGTTCTACATCAGGTGACATATGACCATGCTTGTCTTCTAACATAAATACAAACGCAGCCATGTTCCCCAACTCATAAAACAAAGTAAGTTCATAAGCCAAGGCACCACTGTGTATTTATTTTAGTCTCAGACATTCATAGGAAAGTACAAAGCAGAAGCTAAAAATCACTTTGTGTGTGCGTGTCTGTGTGTGTGTGTGTG